TTGTTGTTATTACACTATTCTCTGTGTCAGATAAACAGATATTGTTTTTTAGTTCATTATTCGTTTATCCCGTTATTCCTACCTAACTAATAGGTCCATGTAGCACTGTTGGCCTCCCTCCTTTACCCGCGCTAACCTTGTGGGGTTTTACGCCGAATGAGCGAGAGGACCTATTTTATGGGTCGTATTATACAGTTTATAGTGGTAATACAATTTTATCCTGATTTTAAGTCCGCCGTTTAAGCTTTGTACAGTCTAAATACGGCAAACCGCTTAAGCTTGTACATCGCTCGCTCCCCGGCGGTACATATATGTGTATTCATGTGTACGTGTACAGGTATACATATATATATAATGTTGTTAAATTCGATTAGCGATAGGATTGCTGTGGGGTGGCCGGCTCAGCTCACCTGTATTTATACCCTCTGTAACCCACGTGATCGGATCCATCTGTATTTCCATCACGTTTAACGTGGATGTAATTGTAGTAAGACTCGTTCCGCCTTGATCTACTTTCGCTTTCCATTACAGTACCAACCTCATATGTGCATATCACGTGCTTACGTACACGAGTTCATAAGCTGAGGGAGTTTCGCTCTGTCGATTAAATCGTGTTTACAAATGTAGTCTACTTACTCTGTGAAAGTAACGTTTTGTAAAATATCAAGATACCTATGAAATGCATGTGTGAGTGCACGTGAGAACGGCATACCATGCGATAGCCTCTAGTCTCATATGTACCTGACATGTAATTATAAATATACCGTGAGTTAGCGGACTGTGGGATGATGTCCAAAGTGTACAAGTCTGAGGGTAATTTGGTTCCATTAAAGAACCATAGCTTGATAATTTTGATATCATATTTTTGATTTATTTCCATCATTTTTGCTATATTTAAACAGAGACAACTGTCATTGTGTAAATGTCATCCCTCTGCAAAAAGTTCCGATTTTTTTCAAGGAAGATAACTCTCACCCGGATCAAAGTGATTGTAAAATGTAAAATAAATTAATTATAAAGCCATTGTGTATATTTTGTTCAATTTCCCACTCTATATGTATAGATCTTTGTGTCCTGTTTGCTTTTAGCTTGTAGATAATCACTTTTATCCGATCAAATTCAATAAAAAAACCTCTTTGTGTAACATGTGTTACATATTTTGCGATAAATAAAATATTTGTAGGGTTAATTATAAATGCTTCTTTTCATTTTTTTATTGTTCCGAACAATGCCACACACAAAAAAAAACCCAGAAAATATTAAAAGTGGCGAAAATTCAATTTTTTGGTATTTTTTCCAAAAAAGTCCCCAAACTATCGGAATGTTTAGATTTTCATAAAATTAACTCCACATAGTTGCATAACCATTATATGAAAGTTTCAACGAATTTTGCTGGTTAATTGCGAAAGTGTGGAGCCACCTTAAAAGATAAATGCAGTGCTATTATATTTACATGTTGTATACACAATCTGTACTCACTTTGCTATGTAATTGAAATGTATTAAAATGTTGACCTCTTGTAACACACCTCGTGTGTCATGAGTGTAAAATAAAACTTGAACTAGAAAAAATAAGTACCGGCTTGTCTTCAAAAAGTGCCGAGGGATCCAAGTGCCGACTTCACCAAGTGCCGAGGCGTCTAGCATTCGACAATATTGATATACGCGTTAATGAAATAACATTTGTAAATAGCAACCAGAAGTCAATAGTACGCGAAAGTACTCTATACTATTAAGTAGAGAAGAAGATACATCTATACAAGCCCCGGCTAACTGAGCGAAACTGACTGTTTACATCGTGACCAGAGCGAGGCTACGACTTTTAACCGGAAAAAAAAATCACGGGCCCGCTTACATCATCATTTAGCGAAGCGTTGATTGGTCTATTGGCATTTTCTAACCCATTTAGATGCACCCAGCACTAAACGCATTGATAGGCTAACTTGTTGTAGATTACGACTTGGATTAAATAATGTTATCTGTGATATTGTCCGATTGTTTTTATTTTACAAAATAAGACAGATGTCTACTTCCCGTTATTCGGAACATCAACACCTCGGACTTTTACATGTGGATTTATGAAACCGATTACAAGATGGCTGGCATCGTTCAAGAATTCGACGAATCAGAGTTACAAAATGCTGGTTTCATCTGTCCTATATGTCTGGAAATTTTCACGAATCCGATAGTATTGTCTTGCGGAAATAGCCACGTGTAAGTTTTACAGACCGATCTGATACCAGCGGGGGACAAATGTGCTAAACTTATCTAAAGAAGTCATTGTGGTTACCAGTTAGGCCTAACAGTTAACGTAAATAGAATGATCCATGTCAGTGTGTAGGTCTAGTTTGACAGTTTAAAGTAAGACGTGTCCTTTAAAGATAATTGATCATGGTGGAATGATCACAACTGAGCCAACAGCTAATCCGACACCCAGCTTCAGACCAATGGCCAGCACCACCATCTGATCATTGTAAGGGGATTGTGTAGTGGTTCCCTGTAATTTTATTATAAACTGACATGCAAACAGGAATTTTGTATGACATTCTGAAAAACTGCACTGTCTGAGATGCCTGAAGAAGAGCGTATATGGGTCTTGTATAGTTGTGTTGTATATATACATGGGATATATTTGTGATGTACATTTAGATTAAAAATATATCTGATCCTTAAAATATTCTTCTTCCGGTAATGTGTCGATCTCCTAATACTGGAGGGTAAATTGACTCAGCGCATGGTTGATGAAACAGGAGGCTTCCCCGAATGGCTAAAAACAGGTCATGTTAAAATTATGTACAGGATCGGAGGTTGCTTAAGTTGCGTCTACTGAATGATGAGCGGCCAAACAATGGTGTTGACCTAGCTTTGCCCTAAACTCATCCAGTGTGGCTGATGTTGCTACCTCTTCTGGAAGTTTATTCCATTCCCTTGTGGCCAGGAAAAAAGGAATAGTGGTAGTCTTCCTTGTTCATTCTCCTGTCATTATCTTTGCTGTCCTCTTGTTCTGTGGCCCACTTATATGGGTCCGGGTCAAAATCGACTAGTTTGTTCATTATTTTATACCATGAGCATATTCGCTAGCCAAGTGTTCGCTTCGTATACACTCCACTTACCCTTGGCAGATATGGCCGTGTTTACAGGGCCTTTAAATTTCCGTGCGGTGCCAATCGCTTGCATCCAATGAAATCGCTTCTTACATATAGCGCTGTTGACGAAGGAAAACAGTAATGGCGACGCCCTGTACGGAAGCACGTTGTTGTTTATGTCATCATGTTTTCCCCCAAAAAATAGGCGCACGATCTTTGGGGAAACTTCTTGAGTTTTAAATCAGTTGGTGGAAATCCTTGACTACGTGCCACATGTAAATGATGACCTTGGAAAATATGTGTGCTTTCTTTGGATTGTTTCCGCTCTGTCATTTATACTCCGCCTCGACATACACATGCTTTTGTCAACACACCAATGGAATGTGTATCTAACAGTCATTCTGATTGGTTGAAAGTTTTTTGGGAGAAGAGCGATAACTCGGTATATCTGTTAGGTGGCAGTTGAGGGAATTATGAAAACACGGCTATATCCACCAAGGGTAAGTGGAGTGTATACGAAGCGAACACTTGGCTAGCGAAGATGACCATGTGATGAGTCTCTGTTTTGATCGCCATTGTTGTAGAGATTCCCATCCTAGTCGTTCTATCATGCGTATGGCTGTAACACATCCGAGAGTCCTGGAATAGTAGTCTTTTTAGACTTAACAGGCAGCACGTCACTGGACCTGTTCCATTTCTGTGACAAAAGCAGCTTGGTGTGGATTATAACCACACTGATGCTGCATACTCCAGGGTCTACTTGACAAGGGTGCAGTATGTATACATATTGGTCTTGACTCTCCGGGTGCACCTCCCAATGTTCCTTCTGAGGAATCCAAGAGTCTGTGATGCCTTGCCGACACACTGGTTTAGGTGCTTGTTCCAGGTAGGTCCTTGTTGATTAGCACTCCCAGGTACTTTTCACTGTCAGCAACTTCTAGCTGGTGGTCATGCAGGGTATAGGATGTTGGTAACTGCTGTCCCCTGCCAGAGATCCTTATGACAATGCACTTCTTAGGACTGAAATGCATCTGCCATTTGTCCTCTCACTCTTCAAGGGGAGAGTCTGGTAACTTCGATCACTCTTAGTTTTCATCTCGTTCTGGATGACCAGGTCAGGTGACTGTTTTTGGTCCGGTATTCAACAATGGTCGTATGAAAACGTCTCTAAACTCTCAAAATTAAACATTTTGGGTGTTCCCCTTTTTAATATACAGCTGTGAACAAAGTAAATTAGTCTAGATAACGATTCTAGTAAATATGATCACACGTTGGGTAACGATTCCTCATGCTATTTCCACGACCAAATATCCAACTTTGATAGAATATCTAGCTCATCTAGCTCCAAATACAAGTTACAAGAATTATTTTTATAGACTTGTACAAGCCCCAAACCATGTCTCCCTCATATGACTGTCCTGACACACTGCCTTTTTGATGGGCAGTGTATAATGAAGCCATTTTGATGGGCGGTGTATAATGAAGCCATTTTGATAGGCGGTGTATAATGAAGCCATTTCGATGGGCGAAGTATAATGAAACCATTAAGATGGGCGGTGTGTAATGAAACATATAATTCAGCAACGTCACGAGAGAAAGGTCCAATGTTGGAAATGTTGTTAAATACGTGGAAAAAAATATCATGAAGAGCTCTAAATAGGTATACATTACACTGACATGTCAATAAACCTTGTGTCTTCATACAATTTGAAAATTAGCTAACTTGAGGTGAGATAAACCACCTCTCATTGGGGAACCTTTATATATGTCCAATGACATTTTTCATGGATTGTGATCATGACGATTCTTGTGTTGCACTGTCTAGAAGTAATACTGATATTTTATTGAATAGTTCTGATCTACTGAGTCAATAAAAATAATGCAGATCTCTGTCTCATTGTTCAAGAATGTTACATTGTTAACTGACTTAATGCTGAAGGCACAGTAGTTTAGTGGTAGGACGCCGGCCATGGACCGAAGGGTTGCTGGTTAGAGTCACCGCACGGCAATTTGTTGTATCTTTGAGCAAGATACTTTACTCTGCTTGTTCCAGTCTACTCAGCTGTAAATGAGTACGTGGTTGGGCAGTGCTAGAATTGTAGAATGCTACCTGTGAGCACCTGAGTATGCTCTCAAGGGAGCTGAGAAAGGTATTGGCTGGTTGCAAAGGCCCTATAACCGCTTTGAGACGACCTACGAACTAGGTTGTGATAAAGCAGTATAAGAACCTCAAATTATTATTATTATTAATTCTTTTAAATTCTGGGTACTGTTACAAAAAGTATCCTTTGTTTTAAATTGTTAATAAATTAATTGTTTCTGATTTAATTTTGAAAATCTGACCTCTGTGTGTCTGCTGCCATTATAACATAGTTGATTGTATAATTTAATTCCGTGCTATAAGGTAGAAGAGTCTTATAAAAAAAAGAAGCTTCAAATTCAAAGTTTGTTACCTAAAATAGTGCATTTGAACTACTGAAAATCGAAAGTTGAACTTTGACACAAAAATGTCTCCAGAGAAAAAGTAATGCATTGTTGATCTTCATAACATATCTGAAGATGAAATTGATGTTTTTTTTCGTTAATGAGTTATTGCAATTAAGAAAAAACGTATATGACGTCATGGCGACCATCTTGTTTTTTTTTATCAAGATAAAAGTTACCAAAAATTTTGTAGGTGGTTGTTGGCAAACATAAATACCTAGACTGGATAAAATCTGCTTAGCAGAACATCAGAGTAAAATGTGACATATTGTCGGCTTTCAAAAAGATCAAAGGAATTATTCAAAATGACGTAGGATGTTAACAGAAAACATTAAAGAAAAACTGAAGACACCAAAGTCATCTGGAGTGAAATCCTGATTGACAATAAAATGAAAGTTTTAAAAACTTGAAAAATCAGAAAAAATGAAAAATTGATAACCTTTGACCCTACAGTGGAGGAATTTTATTTGACCTTTTTAGGTCACCTGAGCCAAAGTGTGTAGTGTGTTGTCTGTAATATTTTACATTTTTGGCTCACCTGGTCCGAAGGGTATGGCCCCTCTAGATCTGGGTGCAGAGGGTTGGGGTCTAATAGGGGAATTTGAGGTTTAAATCTTTAAAATTCTTCATCTTCTGTACTATTGTAAGGATTTCATCCAAATTTGACCAGGAGCATCCTTGGGCAAGGGGGACTCAAATTTGTATAAACTGGGGTTGTGGCCTCTCTGGGTGCAGAGTTTGAGGTCCGATAGGGGAATTTGAGGTTTAAATCTTTAAAATCCTTCTTCTTCTATACTATTGGAGGGATTTTATGTAATAAGAATAACTTCCCATGGTTGCTTTAATATCCAGGATCATTTAAACTCGGTGAGAATTATCCATAGAGTAAGAGGGTATCAAATTGTAAATTTGGGATTCCTGCCCTAACCCTAGGGGCCAGGTCGGGGCCCCAAAGGGAAAATTTACCAATACTGGTATTTAAAAAATCTTCTTCACCAGACTCATACCAGTAACTACTACAGTCAATTTCTCTACATGGATGGAAAGATCATCAGAGGCTTTATTTAAACTGTAAATTTCAGTACCACCACACCCTCCGTTCTCCCTACAGGAGGGGGTAAAGTGTACTATAGTTTATATAGGGAAATAACACTTTTGGGTATTTTTCTCTCTTCTAAGCAAGAATTTGTTCGAACTTGGTTGGAATAATTGTGATGTGATGGCAATAAGATGGTATGAGAAAACAAGATCCGTTCTTGCCGCAGGGTCTGGTGAAGTGGGGCTAAAATGGAGAAAATAGTTTAAAGTTAAAAAATCTCTTTCCTCAGACTATGATCATGATGTAGTACAATCAAATACAGGAACCGAAAGGTCCTTATTTAGGTGCTATTACTGAATTGTAAACTTCATTACCCCTTGGTCATCTGCTCTCCCTTTTGGAGGGGGTAAAGTTTACTATAATTCATCTAGGAAAATAACACTTTTGGGTACATTTTGTCTCTTCTTCGGCAAGAAATTATTCAAGCTTGGTTGGAATACTTATAATGAAATAGCAATGAAATGGTATGAGAAAATAGTATGCTGCCTTGCCCTAGGAGCTAGAGGGGTGAATACAATACTGTTCATGGATAGAAAGGTCCTTAATTATAAGTGCATTAACAAATTGTAAATTTCATTACTCCTAGATCATCTGCTCTCCCTTGAGGGGAGGGTAAAGTTAACTCAAGTTTATGTAGGTAAATAACACTTAAAATGAGATAATTGCATGAATGCTGTATGATCAATAGCTTTTTAGTTATAGCCATTTTCAGATTTTGACATATGACGTCATGGTGGCCATATTGGATTTTAGACTTTCTTGAAAATATTGAATGACATCTTTTGACAAGTCAAATACGTTTCCAAATTTGGTAGGATATTTGGGGAAACATTTATACCATTTTAAAATCAAATTACCGTCATAGACTTTAGAGAAAAATAGGTTTTAACATATTGTCAGCATATTAAAAAGATCAAAAGAAATATTAAAAATGGCCATTACATAGGGTGCTAACGGTAAATGTAACAGAAAAACTGAAGACACTAGCCCGAAGAGCCAAGTGAGCTTATGCAATGGTGCAGCGTTCGTCGTCCGGCATGCGATGTCTGGCAACTTTTTCCTTCAAAATGCTACTAGTCCTTAACGGCTCAGAGGATTTTGACCAAAAATAGTCTGGAGCATCATTGGCCAAAGGGTTCTCAGTTTTGTATAAACGGAGGGTATGGTCTCCCTGGGGGCAGAGGGGTGGGGCCAAATAGGTAAATCTTTAAAAACCTTCTTCTCAACCAATAGAAGGATTGTGACCAAATTTGTCCTAGAGCATCTTTAGACAAAGGAGCCTCAAGTTTGTATAAATGGAGGGTGTGGCACCTCTGTACAAATGAAGGGATATAAACCAAATGCAGTCTGAAACATTTTGTATAAACTGAGGTGTGTGGACCCCCTTCTTTGGGGCAGATGGATGGGGCCCATTAGGAAAAATAGAGGAAAACATTTAAGATCCTTTTCCTTTTGTACCGTTGAAGGGATTTTAACCAAACTTGTTCTAGAGAATCTTTGGGCAAAGGGAATTTAATATTTATAAATGGAAGATGTGCCCATGGGCAGAAGAGTATAGGGGAAATAGAGAAAAATATTTTCCCTTCTGTACAAATTTTGTTTTGTTTCTTGCAATTTTGTTTATTGCACTCCTTTGATAAACCTGTATGGTATTCAGCAGGTTTCAAATTGAAAAATAAAATACCAGGTGAGCTATTAAGGTCCCTGGGCCTCTTGTTTTTAGCTCACCTGTCCAAAGGGCAAGTGAGCTTATGCCGTGGTGCGTCCGTCCGTCCGTCCGTCGCCAACTTTTCCATTAAAACTACTTCTCAACAACCAAAAGGCCCAGGGTACTGATTATGGGCCAGTTGCATGCTTGGATGAAAGGCTTCCAAGTTTGTTCGAATGAATGACCTTGACCCAATTTCAAGGTCACAGGGGTCAAATGTATTAAAATCTTCAAACAACTTCTTCTCAATAACCAAAGGACCCAGGGTACTGATATTGGGCCTGTAACATGCTGGGTTGAATGGCTACAAAGTTTGTTCAAATGAATGACCTTGACCCACTTTCAAAGTCACTGGGGTCAAATGTCTTAAAATCTACGAATGACTTCTCAATAACCAAAAGGCCCAGGGAACTGATATTCGGACTATAGCATGCTGGGATAAAGGGCTACCAAGTTTGTTCAAATGAATGACCTTGACCCACTTTCAAGGTGACAGGGGTCAAATGTCTTAAAATCTTCAAACAACTTCTTCTCAATAACCAAAAGGCCCAGGATACTGATATTGGGCCTGTAGCCATCTTCGATATCCAGGGGTAATGCTCACTTTTGCTCTCTGCATCCCTGGAATATGTCATAACAAAATTGAAGGCTGAGTGTGCGCCACCTTGTTGATGAGACCAATCAAATCACTATCTTCATGCCTTCAATTTTGCTATGACATATTCCAGGGGTATAGAGAGCGAAAGTGAGCATAACCCCTGGATATCGAGGATGGCCTGTAGCATGCTGGGATAAAAGGCTACAAAGGTTGTTCAAACGAATGACATTGACTTATATTCAAGGTCACATTAGTCAAATATGTTAAAATCTTCAGACGACTTCTCAATAACCAAAGGGGCCCAGGGTACTGAAATTGGGCCTGTAGCATGTTTGGATGAAGGGCTACCAAGTTTGTTCAAATGAATGACCTTGACCCACTTTCAACCTAACGTCATTGTTCCACAATTTCAAGGTCACAGGTGTCATATGTTTAAATCTTTTAATAGGTTTTTATGAATCAAACACTGATATTCTGCCTGTAGCTGTATTTAGTCCACTTTTAAAATAACAAGTGTGATATTAATACCAGGTGAGTGATGCAGGCCCATTGGGCCTCTTGTTTAGTCTCCAGCATCCTTGGGCCAAAGGGACTCAATTTTGTATGACCCCCCCTAGGGGCAGAGGGGTGGGGCTCTGTTTGATGTTTGTTCTCGCTATATCTTAAGTACTGGATTGATCTTTCTGAAATTTCATATGTACTTACAGCACCTACCATGGAGTGCTATATCTTTACTTCATACCAATAATTTTAAACATATTCAGGTGAGCGATATAACTCTTGTTTAGTTATGGCTATTTGATGAAGATTTTGACATATGTCGTCATGGCGTATTTTTGACCTACTTGAAATTGCAATTTCACCTCTGACCATGGCATAAAATATTTAAGGATTGACCTTCAAATGCCATGGTGCGGCGTCTGTCGTCCGTCCTTCCGTTGTCTGCCATCCGTCTGTTGTCTGTCGTCCGTCTGTCCGGCGTAAACTTTTTACTTTGAACAACTTTTCAGTAACCAAAAGGCCTATAGGATGATGATATTTGGCCAGTAGCATGTTGGAATCAAGGGCTACCATTCAAATGAATGACCTTCATCCATTTTCTAGGTCACAGGGGTCAAATATGTTAAAATCTCTGAACGACTTCTTCTCAATAACCAAGAGGCCTAGGGTGATGATATATTGCCAGTTACATGCTGGGTTGAAGGGCTACTAAGTTTGTTCAAACAAATGACCATCACCCATTTTCAAGGTCACAGGGGTCAAATATGTTTAAAACCTTTAAACAACTTCCTCTGAATTACTGAGAGGCATAGGATAATGATATTTGGCCAGTATCATGCTGAATAGAGGGCTACCAAGTTTGTTTGAACAAATGACCTTCACCCATTTTCAAGATCACAGAGGTCAAATATGTTAAAAACCTTTAAACAACTTCTTCTGTATTCCCAAGAGGCCTAGGATAATGATACTTGGCCAAAAGTAAGCTAAGATAAAGGCCTACCAAGTTTGTTCTCATAAATGACCTTCACCCATTTTCAAGGTCAAAGGGGTCAAATATGTTTAAAACCTTTATATGACTTCTTCTGAATTACCAAGAGGCCTAGGGTTATGCTATTTTGCCAGTTAGATGCTGGGATGAAGGGCAACCAAGTTTGTTCAAATGAATGACCTTTGCTCATATTCAAGGTCACAGGGATCAAATATGTTTAAATGTTTAAATGTTCAAAAGGTCCAGGGTAATGATATTTGGCCAGAAGCATGCTGGGATGGAAGGCTATAAACTCTGTTCAACTTAATGTCCTTGTTTGACTTTCAAGATCACAGGCGCCATATTTTTAAATCATTTATTAGATTCTTATGAATCGAACACAGATATTTTGCCTGTAGCTGTATATTAGTCCACTTTTAAGATTACAAGTGTGAGATTAATACCAGGTGAGCGTTTCAGGCCTATTGGGCCTCTTGTTGACATTTAAGGTTTGTTAGTACTATTTCTCAGGAATAACTTGAGGGATCTTTCTCAAATTTGATATGTAGGTTCCCCTTGATCCCTCGTTGTGCATGTTATATTTTGAGGATGATCATAAAATCAAAATGGCTAAAGGAAGAAATAAACAGATCTTTCTTATATTGCAATGATCGATTCTATTTCTTTCACATTAAGTACTGTACTAGTTAATGTGTGAAATGACAAACTCAATTTGAAGGTTGGCTTTTCTACATATCAGTAGTAAGTTTAGATCAAAAGTTACCTCAAGGTGCATTTACTGTAAACATGATTCGATCAAACAGATTAGAGGAAAGAAGAGAAAAGATCGAACTGACAAAGAACTAATGAAGATGGTACAAAGGTGGGCGCCAAGATCCCTCTGGGATCTCTTGTTCTTCTCTTCATCGCTAATTTTTTTTTTTCAGATTCTTTTGTTCAAGTACAATAGCTTAAGTTTTCATGGGCCAGTCAAGTAAAAACTTCATACACTTGTTTTTAACTAAAAATGCTTGCTTTGAACTGCCTGTCAGACCCAAAGGTAAATTTTACTGTTAAATTGAATAAAGCATAAAATCATACTAACATATACCTTGGTATTAAAAATCAAGTATCAAGTCATAAATAGTGGGCTGCTGAACAGGAAAAGGATATTGTAGACCTAGGAAAGGTTAGTGTAATGGCAGGGGCCAAGACAATTATATATACAATATTAATGTACATTCTAAATTGAAATGGCTTAAAAAAAAAAGAGAAATTATAGCATTATTCTAATATAGATATATAGAAACTGGCCCATTTTAGTAATTGAAAACTGGAAATTAATGACTGTAGTTTAGCTTTCTTATTACTACGGGTAGACCAAAAAAGGGATGTTTGGGGAAAGTAAACAAAGTAATTATTTGTTGTTGTGGTCAGGTATTGTGAGGAATGTGTAAGACCTTACCAACACATGGCCGAGCCAGAATGTCCTCAGTGTCGACAACCGTTCAATCTGGACCAGGTGTATCAAGCCATTGACTTAATGACTCGACTCTGCTCAGTTGTGTCCAGCTGTAAATGGTGCAGTCTTAAGGTTAGTAGTACTTGATTCAAGGTCAGTAGGGCTTAAGTTTAGGTCATCTTATGTGAATGGCTTGACCCAAGGTCATTTATGTCAGCAGGGCTTGACCCAAGGTCATTTATGTCAGCAGGGCTTGACCCAAGGTTATTAATGTCAGCAGGGCTTGGCCCAAGGTCCTCTGATTAGAGTATGGCTTGACCCAAGGTCATCTGATTTAAGGGCTTTACCAATATTGCCGATAGGATTTTATCCGAAGTGAATAGTATTTGACCCTATAGGTCAGCTCTAAATGGTGTCATCTCAAGAATAGAGGGCTTTAGTCCAATGTCAGTAGAACTTGATCCAAGGTTAGCTAGACTTAATCAAATGGCAAAATACACTGAAAAAGTTTTTATTTTTGAAGATATCCCTAATAATAACCCTTTCCCTAATGGCATATATAGAGAATAATACATGCTTTTTTCCATGTCACACCCAGTATCAACCCGAGAATGCAATATCAGCCCTAGGGCCAAAGCCCTGAGGGCTGATATTGGTCGAGGGTTGATACTGGGTGTAATATGGAAAAGACATATTTTATTCTGTTTATTACATACTTACTAATAAAAGCTACTATCTTATGATCTATTTTTCTTTTGAAATATTAGATAACGAAAAATTTCCAAAAGTGCTGTGATACGGGTTTTGCGGGCTGATACGGGTTTTGGGGTGTGATACGGCGAGGGCAGATATGGGTTAGAGCAATTGTGTCGTATCGCATATGCAAAAAATCAGTATTTATTAGTAAGAATGTAATAAAGTTTCTTACCTTAAATCAACATAACCTGAAATTGTCTTCCTTAACTATGATCATACTTCTGATCAACTCCAACTGTTGACGCTTGGAGGGTAAGATATTGGGATGACCCTCCTTCACGTAGCGCCCCATTAGCTCAACAAGGTGCTATGTCAGTTTTTGACAGTTTTGAGAAAAATGCATTTAAAAGCTATATTTCATTGTCGCCTAAGTGCTATCTGAGGCCGAGAAAAACTGGTAATATATTATTAAACATAATATTGAAAAGAAGACATACCAAAAATAATGAGGTCAAAGGTCAACTATAAATAGCATAGCATAAGTCATTTTCAAGATAGCACCTTGTTGCATTGACATACTTATGGAAGTTAATGCAACAAGGTGCTATCATCCTGAGATAGCCCTTTGTTGCACTGGCTTATTTTCAAAATGTTCCCTATACTTTGTGCAACAATGAGACATTATTTAAACCAGTCTTCTGATTAGAAACATTTCTATGTTATAATGATTAGATAGTTAAATCTTCGAATATAATTAGGCACAATTTATTAAAAAATGTCAAAACAGTATTTTTTTTAAGTTAAAAACTTACCAAAGACGTAATAGTTCCCAGCATATTTTATCCGAATCGTATAGTTTACTTAAAAGTTTTATTTTGTAGCTTTATCACAGTTCAATTAGTTTTCACTTAATGTTCACTTAATGTTCACTAAGGTTTCATCAGATAATCACACATCATACACACAAATGAAAAAATAATTTGTTATCAAAGAAATCCCTGTATTAACATTATGTGCTAACGCCTAGCCTTAGTTATCATTTTCTTCAAATTCACTGTCATCTATGTCTGACATCTCTTCCTTCAACATTTTACTGGTTTGAAAAGATTCGTAATATGTATGGTATTCCTCTAGAATAATTTAAGTACGGCACAGAGACAACAGGTCATTTTTTTTCGCAGTAGAGATTGGCAGTTCGGAGTTGAAGCATTTTGTTAGGGTACTGTCATTCTGTTGCATACTTCCTCTTGTGACACAGATTTCAAGAAACTCTTCGGGATCAAAACTGTAATTGACAAAAAGAGAATTTGGCTTGTCTTTTCTTACTTGGATCCATTTAATGCAGAGCCAGTTCACTCTTTTTCCACAGATGTCAATCTTCATGTTGCTAGCAGTCCTAGATTTGAGTGCCTTAAGATCATAAAAGTCATGCTTGGGACGAAGACTTGAGTTTTCTTTTTTGCAAGCTCAACTGCTGAGTAGATAGAATCTGACTTCATCTGTGAGTGAGCTGATACAAAGAATTTTTGATTGACATTTTCAATGTTGGGATGCTGTTTCATTGCATACAGGAGGCCACTATAGCCATAAATTGGTTCCTGTTTTGTCCTCCACGGATATCCGAGTAAAATGTAACCTCCTTTATCTTCTGAGGTGTTGCGAGAAGACTTATTTGCTTCAGAACACATGATCCAATCTCATTAAATCCTCGTCCGCCTTGTGTTTCATCCCATAGATAACATGTTCCTTTTTGATCCGTCAGTGAATAAAAAGAAAGATTGTAGCAGCTTAATTTTCTCTTGTAATAAAGCTCACCTACAAGGTGTAGACAAGACTGCCTCCAAGTCAAAAGTAGAAACATGAAAGGTTTTATCATGTTTCACCTTTGTCTTATCCCTCTGTTTCTGTTCTCTTGTCCATTCTTTCATCTCCTGGTGTACTCTATAAATTGTTTCTGCATCTTCATCAACTGTTCCATCATTGTAGAACATTGATCTTTTTGGGTTTGTGAAACGACAGGTTGTAATTCTCACAAAAGATTTCCGATAGATACTCTCTTTCACTGGACACTTTTTATTAGGAAAGTATTTCTCCTTGAAGAGACCATACATCACTTTAATGTTGAGGTATACACTTAGGTACTGTTTTCTGGTCTTTGCTTGTGAATAGTGGGATTCCATAATGGGAAATGATCGTATATGCTCGTGAATCATGTCAGTGAAGCACTGCAGAGTTTTGTTTCCGGAACCAAACGTTCCACGTCTATCATGTCCAACAAATGTTCCATGGCACTTGTTCTTTAGTGCGTGCTCAAATGCTTTTTTGCCAACATCGAGAGTTTTCAGGAAAAAGGTTTTGCAGTCGCGGTGACTCTTTTTATCAACGGTAAGATTAAATGCATTAGCTTTTGATTTTCTTTTTCCATCCTTTGTATCCTTCTGTATAATGTGTTGGCACAGGAATGATAGCTGTTTCTCATAATCAGCCATGCCCCAAAACGTTGAGAATAGCTTTTGTCTTTCCTCCTCAGCAATCTTCGAGGAATACTTAAACCTGCATTTTGAACAGTCAACATTTCCTATTTTCCGAGACTGAATTTTTATTCCTCTACTAGATATGTAAGACATTCCTTTGTTTCTGAACAATTTTCGCTTGTTTTTTTTTCCACTCTGATGGCTTTGGTGTCCTTTTTCGGAACAGTTGTTTATTTTTGGACTTTTGTAGTTTGCCTGTTTATGAGGTGTTACTAACTGTGGCTGGGAAGACTTTTTGTTTTGAGGCGTTGCCTGATTGGCAGTAGGTTCCTTTACTGGCGTTGAAATATCAAGTCTTTTAACCGCATCATAGTGCTCTTGACCACGTATGGCTGTACATGCAAGGAATATATGGTCATTGTTGGAACATGACTCACCATGTAGATCAGGCTCAACATCAATAACAGGTGTTTGCTTCTTGCTGGAATATATCCTGACAGGCTTTTTCATGATATTGGTGACAGCGAGTGACATACAATCTGCAAGATCTGTATTCCATGTCCCGGACTCTCGAATCTTGTCCACCTCCAACAAATACTCTGACTTGTCTTCTTGATCAGATGCCAACTTTTTGACCCGGAACATTCGATAGTGATTGTAGTTGTCACGAAGGTGATCAGCAATATCACTTCTCACAGACTCAGTAGATACAGTATCCTTGTCCTGATTGAAACTGTCGAGAAATGCATTTACAAAACAGTTGCCATCTGCTGTTACTGGGATTCTTTTCAATCCATTACTCAACAAAAGTTTGTCAAGTCTGGACTGATGATATTGCGTAATCCATTTTTGAATTTGTGCAATCTTGGCACTTTTAGCTATAGCTGCTTGAAATGCTGTTTTCCTTATTTTTGTCTTTTGTTTTGTTACTGCTGTGTCGTCCCTCTTCTTCCTACGTTTGTGTTTGGTATTTAATGATATTCTGGGTAATGGAACATCATGTTCTTTATTATCTGAGCTTAAATCAGCGAAATCGTTGTTTTCTGTATCCGAAGAATTTAAGTCTTTCTTTGATGGTTTGTAAGTTTTGTCTAAATCATCAGTTTCTGAATAGGTGCTTGGCTCCCTTTGTCGTTTCCTCAACATTGCTTTCCTGACTTCAGACAGCGTTATAATGCTGTCTTCATCCTCAGAAAAGTGTTCCATTCCAGGTTGATTGTTTAAAGAGTGAATTGTAGTAATGAGTGAACCACAAGTCAAGTTTATAGTGTCAGGGACAATATTGCAAGCCTCCACTTCAGTACTTTCCACTGGAGGATTGGCATGGTCAACCTCATTTTCAGTAATGTCCAAGGATGAGTTTTGTCAGCCTCATTTAAAAAAAAAAAATTGTAACTGTTTATTTTTCGACGATTTTTTCATAATACATATAATCATGAAAAGAAACCCACACAACCACACAAACTTACAGAGCATATATGCTAGCACGAGATAACTTAATGATCCAAGCCTAGCATAGTATATGTATCACTGTTCACCAACACACACACACATATCACAATGTGTACATGATCATTTGAGCACTGATATATCTACATTGTGGACACTAATACATGTTACTGCACTGTATACATGTTCGATAATAGCCATTTAATTGTACATACATGAATATGGACAATATATGAACACACATGCATATACATAAGACTAGTATGCAGTCAGCTGTCTATATATATTGACACTCATATGCCTCATACCTAGCCTTATCTATATAATTCATCTTTTACACACTCATACACACACACACAAACACGTACACACACCATCAACCATATAACACACCATAACAAACTCTCAGACACCTATCCATCACACAGGTTAATACACACATCACTCTCTTACTTTAGAACCATAAATAATAGTATACATCTGTTGTGTACATCAAACCTACATACTATACTT